TCAGTTTGTGCCCGTTGCCCCTTGTCCTGTCACTGGGCACCACTGAAAAGAGTTCGGCCCCTTCAGCCTCAACAAAGCAACATGAAACAATGGAGGCTGGAAGAGCCGTGCACTGCATCGAAAATAAGCAGCCTAAAATGTCTCACAACAGTGAATGGTCACACTGGATGCAATGTAGGACATGGTTCAAATAACACGTTGCTTGTTTCATGTTAAAATGGAAAGGAACATTCTGAAAATGGCCTGGTAAATAAGATATTTTGGAACTTTCATAAATATCACAAGAAGGCAAGAATGACACTCTAGTGCACGGAGTCCGCTGGCTCCATGTCTCCAATTTCTTTCAACTGACCGCAGCCAAAAATAGTTCCAAAGCTGTTGCGTATCCACAACTTTGCACATTCATTAGAAAGAGCAAGACCACCAGCTCTCTCTTATCTGACCCCATTCCTTGTGTTTCTAAATGTGATGCGGATGGTACCCCAGCAAATCTACATGACTTGTTAGAAGGTGAACATACCTGAAACTGCAAGGTTTTAGTCAAACCCTGAAGATCACACTATTAAACAACTGCTTTTCTGCAGAAGCCAATAGTGCTTCAGGCATAAGTTCTATTTCCAGCCTAAGCTGAATTTATCTTTCCTGACACTAACCCACTATTTATTGCCAATTTTATCAAGTAACAACAAGAATTTACTGTGATATAAAGGACTATTCATGTTAGAAGCACTCACAGAAAACTCGTTTCAAAGGTAACACAGAAAATGCAATACTGATACTCAACTAGTAAGGTGCGGAAAATTTATAATCTTCCAATTCAGTACACAAATTTCATTAAAAATCACTAAAGAAATATTTCTGTATAGAAATATTTTTGACATACCAATAGCAGGACCACCTTGTTTCTTCTCCTCCAGAATGGCAGCAAGATCTTTGTGTTTCAGTTTTTGTTGTCTGCTAGCTGGCTGTTCCTGCTCTGGACTTTTAACTTTCAAAAGCTGGTTAGCCTTCTTAATTTTTTGACTGTACTGCCTTGCCATCAAAAAAACCCTGTTCTTTGTTTTATCCGCAACAGCCAAGTCGTTCTCCATGCCCTCTGTATGCGCGCTGGACAGAACACTGTTGGCAGATTCGTATGGGCTATCTACAAAAGGCATCTCACTGGAGAAAGAAGATCCGTTCAGACGCATGAAAGAGTTCTCCTTGCACGGCGTAGTGTCTTCAAGCCTGAAACTAGCCTCGCTTAAGGTGGCAGCCCTGGGCTTCACGATTTTAGGGAAAATAGGAGTTTCTGGCAGAGAGAGAGTAGACAGTGAGTACTCTACGTCTTTACTCAGTTCAGGTGTGCTACCAGCATGCAACCTTTCCTGCATATCATCTTTACAAACAGGAAAGGCTGCAAGGAGGCGGTCTCTTGTCTTTTCCTCATTCTTCTTGATGTAGTTCTCCAGGTCATTCCAAATCTCATCTACTTCCTCTGAGAGTTTATCTGCTGCAGACTTGTGGGAGAGTGAATCAGAGTTCGAGGAGCTATCTACTAAGCTCAAATAGTCATTGTCAACAGGAACATGATGGTAAGGACTTTCATCTTCACTGAACTGGAGACTTTCTTCAGAAACAAACTGCCGCAGGCTGTCACACGCAAAGTCTTTTTCCAGGCCCAGAAAACCCCGCCTTTTAGAGCATTTTAAGGAGTCACATTTAAAATTCAGTAGTGGTGTTTCTGGCAGCACTATGGTGTCATAGATGTTGTCTTCGACGATCCTGAGCTCATCCAAACTTGAAGTAGGTGCTTCTCTACCGAGCAGCGTCTCATCCCTACTAGCACGAATGGAGGCCCTGTTTTGATTTGCTGTCCTCTTTTTGGAGGGCGATTCTAAGCTGTTTTTGTTTTCAGCCTCGTAGAGAGAGTCTCTTGCGGATCTCTGGGGACCACGGTCTCTCTCCTCCCTTCTCGTCAGACCCATCAGCTTTAAGTCCTCATAGCTTATATTATCATAAACATGGTCAATATCGTCGACGGTCAGCTCCTCTGAAGATTCCGGATATGCATTCATACCGCTCACCTCTGCTCTCTTCGCCTCCCTTTGAGAACTGCGCTCCCCCATTTTATACCTTGCGCTGGCTGGACCTGTGTTACTCTCACCAGCGCTACTGGCCCGCCTAACAACTTTGTGACGAGTGGGGCTGGCAGTCTCGTTTTGATGGCCTACCCCCAAGTGCCAGCTGCACGGTCGCCCGGAGGAACCCCTCCTTTCTCCACCGACAGCCGAACTAGCACTGGATGTAGACACCGACGGCACAAACATCTGATAATCGTCTTCGTCATCTTCATTCTCATACGGCGGGCGCCGGCTGGGAAACAACGCCTGCCTGATCTGATGGTCAGTCCAGATGTTTCTGACAGAGGTACTTCCCCCCAGGATATTCATGATCAGCGAGTTGCTCTGGGGTGTGCTGAATTGCCTAGGCAGCTGTGGCTGCCTAGCTGCGCGGGAAAATGTGAGATCGGTATTCAGCTGGGCTGACTCTTCATCTGAAGGGTCCTTGGAGCTCTGTGGAGATTTGAAATACGCAGGTAATGTTAGCCTGTCCCCTGCAAGAACATAGCAACTCCCTCCGTTGACAGAACTGCCACAGCACCAGGGTGTCCCGCAGCACGGAGTCAGGAGGAGACGGGCAGGGTGAACAGGCTCCTCGTCAGAGAGCCAGCGAGCCAAGGTGGCAATGCCAGACTACTTTGCCTCCTAATCCTTACCATGGCTCAGAGTTCACTCTTGGGATTTAGTAACATCCTACATCAAATACGAGACACTGGCTCATGCTAACGCATGAGTAATTAAAGGCAAATTTGTTTGGCAGGAGTTAGATTAAACTTGTTACGCTAACTCTGCAGTTTCACAATCGGATTAAGCTAATCTGACTCTAGGCTTGTGCCAAAAGTTTTGTTCTCCTCCCTTTCCCCTTGCTTATAGCCCTAGCAGAAAGGTACGTTACGCTTTCTAGCGCATGCCACTGAAACTTCCGTTGTCTTTTTGGAGCAAGTTTTCATCCAGTGCAGCTAGGAGTTCCAATTTACAGCAAGGTCACATGGCTGCTAATGCTAACATGAAGGATGCGGTAGGTGTTCCTGGCCAGAGGCCGGGAAAGAGAGGGAAAGATAATTCCTTTTGGAATTAATGCTGATTAGTTTTGTTGGTTGGCTTTTATCCCTGCCCCCAAAAGAACAGTTTTTCATCATACAGATGAATATTTCAATAATATGAATATTAATACATGACAAAAGATGACTTATCTGTCTACCCAGGAAAAACACAGATTTCTTTGACATATCTATGATCCACAGCAAAACAGAAGTAAAAAAAAAAACTATATACCTGTGTTTCACACTTGTTGAGATTAACACTTCTCCGTTTTTCAACATTTTCAGCAGCTTGACTATTAAGTCTTTTTCTTCCTCCTTTTGATTTCTGCAGTGGGTTTTGCTGCATTCCCTGTAATTTAAAAGAAAAGAGCAAGGGAGGGGTAATAAAATCTACAGCGCTTCATACAGCCTTGTTCAGAAGAATTACTAGCTGCTAGAACAGGCCAGGTATCCATATCGGGAGGACAAAATGCTCATTAGTACTCAGAGCACTGCCACAAGAATGATTCAGAGCCTAGGAAACTTTCTTTACAGTAACTAATTAAATGAAATCAACCAATGGAGCTTGTAAAAAGGGGTCAAAATCAGAATCTGTGTATAAAAATACAGATGTAAAAGAATACATAGAAATTGCATGAGGGAAAGGGCTTTATCTCACAGCCACAGTTATAACAGAAGGTGGTCACACAAAAATTCAATTTTCAAAGGCTTTTTTTTTTTGGTTTAAAATGGGGAGGGGACAGTCTTGCTATCACCTGCAGCCTTGAAAGCCAGAAAGAGGTCTCAACTAAAAAATATGCTGTCATCCAACTTCCCAGGAGAAAAAAAAAAAAACCAAAACCAAAACAAAGAGAAGGCCAGAATGTTATACGTTGAACAGTGTCCAAACTAACTCAGAGGGAAGGGCATGCATGGTGGGAACGGGGGGGGAATCCGAGATGGTATTGTTGCCACACCTAGGATTAAACAGTAAGCTACTATTATACACTTTTACAGTGGTATTCTTTTGCACTTACTCATTCTTTTGCACTTATTGTTTTGTACTTACTCATGTCAGGAAGAGGGAGAACTACAAGACAGTGCACTACACTGACATGAGATAGTATTTTATCAAATATTTACAAAGCAAGTATTGTAATTTCAAAGATGAAATGCGCAGCAAGCTTCAAAAAAAATTCAGTAATAGGTTTTGGATACTTCACAAAAGAAATGGACCACACAAAGGATATGACCTCAGCATCAACTAAACCAAACAAACTGGAAATCTACATTCTTTAATACAGACGCATTTCAAAACTGTGGGGTTAGTCTTTCAGAAGTACTACATATGTGTGGAAACATCATGCAGAGTGGGGAGAACTACCACCTGTCAAATGACTGTGCAATAGTCACAGATGAAGATTCTCATCTTCAGAAATCCTACTCATACCACCTCACCTTAAAGTTCACACGTTCCTATCTACTGCCAGCAGCTCACAGGTCAAGAGACACCATATCACGTGTGGCAGTGCCTGAATCTTAAATATGTCCCTGCTTCAGACACCTGAAAGCACTGTCTCTGCACATGGCCTGAAAAGGTTCCTGTCATGGCACCAGATGGAGAAACGAGGAAAGGTCAGTTGTGCACGACAGGTGAAAACAATATATTTCTGTCACAACTAGGTTTGAGGACTGTAAAGGGCCAAGTAATATCTCTTTCAAGCAGCGGGGATTTCATCCTTCTGTACAGGGGTGAATTTTATCTCTGTTAAAATGCAAGACAGTGTTGTGTGCTGTCTAAATAAAAATATTTCTACGGAGAAAGAGTTACAAACACTTGCAACACATTCCTGCCTCCTTGCAGTTCTGCAGATAGTTTTAATCCCTCTTCCATCCTCCCCAGGAAAAACAGATTTTATTTTTTCCTCCTCTTTTCCTACCTGTTCAGACTCTTCTTCATCATCGGCATCAATCTGTTCCGTAGCAGAAGTCTGGAGATTTTCATCCTGATCACTGCTGTAGGCTGGCTCAATGGACTCTTGAAACTGGCTCTCCAGCCCACTGGGTTCCAAGGAAACCTTTTTCCTAGAATTTAGCAGGGCTTCATCTGATCCAAGTTTGGTGGCTTGAGATAATAGGGCTCCTTCAATACCGATCCGCTTAAAAAAAAAACACCACAAAAATTTGTTTTGAAGTTTATAGAGATTTTATACTTTACTTAGACACCGCTTTACATCAGCCTTATGGGCAACGTTTAAGCTATATTCAGTTAGTTGCACTGAAATGAGAACTATAAAGAAATAAGGAAAACAATCAGTATTTTTCCATAGAATATCTGAAACTGAAAAAATACATGCAAAAAACCCCACCCCAATCATGGGTTTCAGTGTTAATGACATCCCAGTGAAGTCATATCTCATGTACCCTGTTCATAAATCTTACACACACACCCACTTTAAATTCCATCCAAAACAAAAGCCTAGGACCTGAAATTCAACATGAGACTTTCAAACTGCACTGGGAACTTCACTACAAATTCTTACCGAAAATGTAAAAATTAGAAATGCTCACTGACATCTGCTTAAGCTGTATGAGCTCTGTTTGGTCATATACCATGATTTAAATATATGATATATGTATGAGAATAAGCTGAAACTTTCCTGTCTTATTTAATAAATGCAAGGACACGCTCCAAATAATAAACAATATCTTTATACACAGAACTTCCACGATTACAGTGGTATTTTTAAGTACCCTACAGTATCACAAAGTACAACCAATATAGGGATCAGTCTTTTTTTCTCTTTATTAGATATTCCTTAAACAGTTAGCTGTATTTCTATTGCTTCATTCCAATAATCTTACTGGAGATACTAAACAACATTTACGGTCTTGTTCCCGTTCTTAAAATCAACACAACCACAAAGATGCAGATTGTACAGTAAACACTGTTCTCTAAGTCACCTGAATGTGCTAAACCAAGAAACAGAAGAAATGGCTTACCTTCTGCATATCTGGACTTATATCTGAAAACAAAAATATATACTTCATTGTAAAAGAACAATCAAACTGGTGTCAGTCTATGCCCTTTTTACTGCTATACTAATATCCCAATTATGAATTCCCAAAGGAGGATTAAATGCAGCAGCAATTGAGCAAACACACTACAGGGTCTCTGATAAAACACAGACAGCATGAGTTGTGCTTGAGGTCCTGATTTTGCAACACTGATATGACATGGGCAGCTACTCACAATGGCCAAGACTCTGTGTGTTCAGTTACCAGTTGTTTATGGGACCAGAACCCCAAGTGGAACAACAGACGTTAAACACTAACATATTGTTTTCTTTGCACACTTTCTCCCCGCCCACCATATGTTTAGGGAAAGTTATAGGAGGAAAAAGATCCATCTGCACTTATTCTACAAAGTACTGAAGCCCTGGGTCAACAAACAGCAGACGAAGTAGCTTACCATTTGACTTCAAAACTTTATGGACTCTCGATGAGGGTTCTGAAAAAGACAACAACATGTTTAAGCATTCCAGCATCCCAAAGAAAGTTATGGGCATCTTGGCCAGAACTTTTTATAACACAGACACCGAAATTTAAGCTTCTGAGTCCATACAAGGAAAACAGATTTTCATTTTTTAATCATCCACTATTCTCAAAAAAAAGTCTTTCTTGAAGTGTCAAAACTACAGCTGTGACCAAAAAACATACATGTCTGTTAACGCAATAGCAGCTGCCCTCCATACAACCAGCCACACGCAAATTTCCATCCCTTACTACGATTCCTGCTTTCAAAAGACTTGGTCATCTCTGCTATTGCTCCAAGTTGCTGGAGGTTTCCTATTAGAAATACGTATGAGGTACCAACAGCTTAGCAGGACTTCAGAAGTGTAAGTAGCTGAACGTTACATAGGAGGCCATTTAATCAGTATTTTGTATTACTCCTTGTATAGGTAAAGCAGCACCAATGTAATCCTCCTCCTCAGAAACAAAGAAAGATGCTTGATTGTTTTTCAGACACAAATGCTGCTGTATGATAAACCACTATATCAATACTCTCATGAGCCTTAAGTCATTCCCAACACACAATGTTACACGCTCCAAACTGGCAAGGTCTTTAAGCAGCTGAAGAGGGGAGTACAGTGACTGCAATATGAAGTGAAGAGGGGAGTACAGTGACTGCAATATGAAGTCACTCAAACACACAGACATTTGTAGTGGCTTCAGGAGGAAACTAACAGTAATTATGGATGTATGTTTGAACTAGGGGGAAAAAAACCCCCAAAAGTCAGCATAACCACCTCTCAAATCTGTTATCCATAAGGCAGACAGTATGCTAAGTAAAGACAGTAATCATATTTTGAAATAAGAAGTCTATTGCAACCAGGATGTAACCACTTCTGAGACGCTAACTACGGCGGGGTGGGGAGAAATGTCAGATTTAAATAATGCAACTGGCTTTCCTGCATATGCATTCTTTCATCCATTAGAAAGTACCAACTGTTCTTTATGCATCCATCATTAGGAATGTAGATCCATGAAATTAAACGCAAACAGTGGATAAAAAAAATCAATTGCACAAACAACAAATGGTCAATAAGATGCTCCACCCATATCTGAGAGTTACTGTGCTATGTTAAACCTGCGTGGAGTCCAGGCTTAAGACCAACTCCAAATGCCCAGCCTCACCCCACCCTAAACAACCCTGTTTGTTTTCACTCTTGTGATCCTAGTGGTAAAGGAGTTTATTCACCTGATTTCCTTCTCACTCTGTGAGGAGCACTGCCTTCTTTAGGCTGGTATGATGATTTCATTTCTCCCTCGGGGCTATAGTGGAAGCCTGGGTGATCTGTGGAACAAGCAGAGGTGTGAGGAATAAGAGAGCATCAAGGGTGTCACCTCACGTGCCTCCGCAGCTCTCTTGGGAGGCAGTGCCATCATCCCCTTACGACTGACAAAGTGGCAGTTCATCAGAGCCTGAAGTAGCATGAGCACGGTGGCGTGCTGCCGTAGGGCAGCTGTTTACCACCCAGCCACAGAAATGCTTTGCCCACTTGGTTGTGCCTTGCTCCAGACAGCTACCCCAGCAACACTCGCACACCATCATCGTGCTTAATTGTTTGCCAGTTCCTCAGCCAGAAGGAGCTTGCACTACAAAACAGGAAAGATCATATGTTTGGTCAGCACGGAATAAGCAAAAGAGAGTGGCCAGAGTTTACAGAAGGTTTGATCTGCCTCCTCCTTGCTCGTCATGCGACATAAACTTGAGGGTTGCAGATCAGTCAGCCCAATTCCTGCCGTGCATCCAATTTTGATTTTTCCAGCAAGGTTGTAACTCAAGGAACATAAGCCTGGCCTCCTTCCGTCTCACACGAACCAACAGTTAAAGGCAAACTTTTGAAGGTGGTTTTATTCATTTTTAAAAATGAAAGTGAAAAGGAACCAACTTACGTATGGCATCCATTTCTAGAATTGCCTGTTTGGCCTGAAAGAGAAAAAATAACAAATGAAAAAGTAAGTAGAAGGACAAATTACATTGCATATTACACATAGTAGTGAGCTTATATGTAAACGAAAGCAAATTTTTGAACTAATAAATACAATTAGCACCATTATTTTCTGTCTTTGTGTGCTGGACACATTACATACATGAAGAAGAATTTTGCTGGCAGGAGTTTACCAGAGCTTATCTTCAGGGCTTCACACAAAGCCCTGCTGTTCCCCGCACCCAGCAGCTCCGCCTTGCGCGCCCACCTGCCCTCCGGGCATCGCACCTCCGGCACCACAGGTGCGAGAGACTTCTGGAGGATGTAGCTATGGCACATCTGACCGCAAAAACTGCTTTGGCTTCAAAAGACAGGGGCTGTGCTGTGCTGAGAGCATGCTGCACACGCTGGGTCTCCTCCACGGGGACACAAACCGCCAGAGATGTCTCTACAAGGCCCAGAATTTACAGCCATCAACACGCCTCTCCATATGGCTGGGATTGGCACAAAACTGGCCCTAGTATCTGGGAATCACAAGGTTTTTGTGATTCACCGAACATTTCCTCCCTTTCCTCCCTAAAAATCATATAGTTTCACTGCTTAATTATTTTTCAATTTTGAAGTTGCTGGCACAGAAAACACTATTAACCTTGCTTCCTTTAAGACTTTCTTTGAGGAACAGCTATTAAAAAGAAGAAATTGCCATTTGGTTAAAGTAAGAATGAACCAGGATAAAAAGCATCTCATGATTGTTTTAAGATTTGTCACATTTTTTAACAGGAAAAAATAGTCCGGAAGTTTTATCAAGCGTATCAGCTAATAAGTAGGAAACTAAACTAAACTAACCTACGTAACCTGCTTGCCCTTCTACAAGTGCAGTTCAGTAATTTTCCACCAGGCGTCACATGTGGACTACTAGTAAATCCTCCAAAATCTGGGCAAAGAGAAGTCTAACTAGCAACCACCGGTTTGTTTGGAAAAAAAAAAAAAAAAAAGAAAAATACTGCAGACAACCTCAGAGATTTATTTGGTTAGACTTTTCCTTTCTCAAGTGAAATAATTTCTGAGCAGAAAATGGCATTATATTTTTGGTTACATGTTTTATCCACAGATTAAAAAAATAATCCAATCAGAAGTAAGAAAAAAAATCTTGATACAAAAGCTGAGATCATGCTGTAATATTTCTTTTTACAACCTAATAAACTGCAATGAGTATTTACATTGTAAGCATGGATACTAGCATAAACATAATACCTTTGATAAACTTTCTGAACAAAAAGATAAGAGGAGAATTAGTAATAGCAGCTGCTAAGGCTTTTTCTCCCATAATTCATTTTTTATTGAAAATGAGAGTTAGTACAGCACTGTGTACATTACTCACAGGTAACATCTTTTAGCGATTACAGCATAAAACTCACTGAAAAAAAAGTCAGGTAAACTGACCAGTGAAACGAATACTGGGGAAAAAAAAAAAGCAGTAAAAATCAGTGGGTAAAAAAAAAAAACAAAATCAGAAAAAATCCTGGTTCCACATGAGTCAGTGTCTGCTGTGTCATGGCAAGAGTTAACTGGGGTTAACACCCTTTGAGAAGTGCAGTGTGTTACACTGGGAAACACCACCTGGAGCTCTAAGACAGGATTTCATAAATAAAAAGGACCAGGTTTCCCTACTCCTAGACATTACAGCTACAAATATGATATCAGTGCCTCATATTCCTCTGGCATAAAGCTTGCTAGCTGTCTCACCAAAAAGTGCTCAGATGTCCCAGCTAAGGATGGGTGTGTGTATTTGTAAAGCGAAGCGCGCGCTGCTGATGGCTTTGCTGCTAGGATATCTAACCAAGACAGATTAAAACTAGCTTGGCAATGTCTACACATGCTGCAATTAGTGCTTCTCGGCATCGTGCAGACAGGCAGCTTCAAGCCAAGGTATGCTCTCACAGCAGAGCTTACTGACATTGCATCTCTGTTACTCATGTCTTAGCGGGCAAATCCTAATGTGGACAGCAATGCTGCTAACCCAGTTAAATTCTTCTACTCCTGTACCAAGCTCAGCAGCTGCTTTTAGTGGAACTTGCCCATTAATTCTGAGGAACTTTTAAGGACACAACATGTTAACTAATCTCATGGAGTCCAAACTTTCCGTAAATTGCCATGCATCTTGCAGCTAACAAGACTGCTTTAAGTTAAACGCATGTACAGGGAGATGGTGAGGTTTTTTTGATTTTTACCTTGGCAGGAATTTTAGCAGGGTGATTTTCTAGGATTAACCTCTTCAGGTGAAGAATCCAAAGGCGCTTCTCTTGCTGCGACTTTGCCTGATAAAAAAATTGTAGCACCATGAGAAAACACATTATCGTAGAATTGTAGAATGGTTTGGGTTGGAAGGGACCTTTTGAGGCCATCTAGCCCAACCCCCCTGCAGTTACTGCACTGCGCAGGCTCAGGAATAGCACGCAGTGATCAGTCAGGGCACCCAGCAGGCAGGGAGGCTTCTGTTATACCTGGACAGTATGCTGCATCTTGGGATTTTTGTAGTGGAAGACGCTAAAGCTAAGTGGTTCCTTTGGTATTACTTCAACAAGCATGAGATTCCCACACTGTAACAAGGAGAGGCAACGATGTGAGTCACAGAGGAGTTTCGGGGAGACCCAGAGTCAGCACATGACCACCAGCTCTCCAACATACCAGTATGTGAGCTTTATATGCAAACATCTCATCTCTCTTTTTTGTAATTAGCAGCAGCTTGTCGAACAGGAACAACGTGCGCTCATTTTTGGCTCGCTGAATGCGAAATGTTCCTTCTAACACCAGCTCCCCGTAACTCGTGAGGTCTGGTCCTTTCCAGTTAGTGAGCAAACTCTGTATCTCCTGCAACAGACCAAAGAAGAACAACCAACATTTATTTCAGAGGTCTTATTTAAATGACTCAAACGAAAACTGCTGAGGCCACTCCCACTCTCCTATACGAAGTTCAGCATCTGACAGCGTAAAGTCACCATACACTGGTATAGAGGTTGCTAGGTTATGTGCAACATTGCAGCCAGGTGCTTGGAGGGCTATTGCTAACCCCAGACTAAAACATGCCCTCCTGGGTACTGGTTACCTCTGCGTGGACCCAGTGAAAAGCCCTGAGCTCCACAGGGTAGCCTCCAGTGAAAGAGCACAACCCCATCTCCCCATGCTCGCAGGGAATGGCCTGTAGCCCAGTCATCGGTCTGTCTCATGCCTGCTCCCCTCCCCCTCTATGCCCCTAACCAATCTCTCTTAACTTTTCTCTCGATCTGTGTATCCTCCAGAAGCTGTGTGGTCCCCCACTGAGTCAATTATAATGCCGTCTCTACGTCCTGTAGGCCCACCGCAGAAGACACCTCTGTGAGGTGTCCAGATTGAAGAGATGTTTCTCAGAAGACGAGAGAACCAGAAGTGATTTGGATCATTTGAAGAAGCCAAGATTTATTTTAATTTTTAATGATTTGTTTACATACCATAGATATTTCTCACGTTATTTATTACTTAACAAAATAAATACAAGGCTGGAGAAACACCCAAGAACATGTTCGCAAGTCAGTGTTGCTTAGCTATGACTATTACCGTTTCCTTCAGTTGCTTGTTTTTTCTGTCAGTGGCAACAATGTAACACTTCAGAATGGTACAGCAAATTGTAAGAGCAGACTAAATCTTAAGTAGGGAGATCTTCAAAAACGTCCCTTGGACTTTAAACCTGGCAGCATTAGCAAAGCAGGGACAGATTTCCTCACCCTAGGCCGGTCTCTCTAGGTCATTAAACTTTAATTCAGCGTTCAGCTAGAAAACAGCTCAGTATATTTGATGCACAAGTGCAGCCTAGAGCACTCAAAGGAAGAAAACCCAAAAGCAGTACACTTTGGACTATACACAAGACTCTTACAAAAAAAAAATTAAACATAACAAATGAAAAAAACTGCATTTTTTCAGGTCTCTCTAGGAACTTGTAAATAAGTCAGGGTACAGCAGAGGGATCACGTCCACCACTGTTGAGGGTGATTTTGCACAGGAACTTGCAGTATTACAGACTGAATGGCAGTGTGACAGCCCACAGAAGACCTATCCTTATGGCTGCAGAAACAGATTTTACTTTTTAAAAAGGTCAGTATGAACAAAACCATTTTCCACAACCCCATACATTTGCCAGCTGAGCTCTATAAATTAATAATAAAAAAATTTTTAAAACCCCCACAACCACTTTTTGAAAAGCATTTAACCTTCTTTATTGCCAAACGTTACTGGTTATCATTACTCAGATTTATAATAAACTGTTGGTTAAGTCATTAGCATGCATTTCCAGCAATGCGTGGCAAAGGTTACACTGCTGCAGGCAAGACATTATCAAATGTAATGCTGTTCTTCCTACACAAAAAAAAAAAAAAAAAACAAAAAACCCCAAAAAATAAA